CTTCAGGTTATTTTTGTGTTATTTATTTTTAGCTTCCACAGAGACTGAGGTAACTGAAGCAGGCATCCATCATCATCTGTTTCGTAAGAAAATCTTCAAAACACAGGAATGACTCTGATGCTTCCAGGACCTGGCGTCCCTGGCTCTCTGGCCTCGGCTCCTCCCGCAGAGGTGGGGATAGCCTGAGCAGAGCCCAGTGGCCGCAAAGCAGGGGCGCGAGCTCCCTCCGGCAGAAAGCGTACACCCACAGTTTACGAGGAGAGCTGGTTCTGGTTTTGAAGTTCATCTCAGACAGTTTTTTCCTGAAAAAAGAAGAAATCTCTGTGACCAATAACTGCATGTTGTCGGTTTGCTGATACGGCCCCCAACGCCCACCTAACGATGTGACACCCTTCCGTATTTGCCAGGTTGTCAGCATCGCTCCTAAGAACGGTTTTCCAAGGGTGTCAGCGGTGGTATTTATGATTTTTTCATGGTGCTGGCCAGAGGAATGTCCTGGGACTGTCGTTAAAGACGCTGGCGTGCAGACTGGTGGACAGGGTACAGGTGTGTGGTACACGTTTTCAAAGAGATGGTCTTCAGGGTCTCTCCACAGAACCCTCTGTAGCCAGTTCCCACCTATTTATTTCTCATTGTTCTTCACTGCACTTTTATTTTGACCTTTAATTTGTCAATTTAACCACTCTTGCTTTTACATTTTTGAATTATTTAAAAAGTCAGAGTAATATGGAACTTTAAAATACCAACTTTAGACTATTAAGAAAATACCAAACTTACAGATATAATTAATGAATTAAATCTACTATCGTTTAAATATATACACACATATATGATTGCCACCTTAAAGTAAAGCAAAAGGTGGTAAAATAAATAATATAATAGGAAGAAGAAAATGAATGAATTGCTTTGCTGTTTGGAGGGCGGTGCTCTCCCACTGCAGTCCCTTTTAAAAGCCAGTGTAGCAGCCACTGTGACCAAAATGGCAGGCGGGACAGCACCGGAAACCTGAGGGCTCCCATTCCTTCCACCTTAACTCTTTCCAGAACAGGAAAATATGCTTATAATGAAACAATTCTCGATAGACTTTATGAGAAGATTCCATATTGTTCACACTGAGCAGATGTCTTCTATGCCTTCACGGTTTAGTAGTTTTGCTGCTATTAGGACCTGGGGAATCGGTGGCTCACAGAGTACACGGTACCTTCAACCCCATTGCTCCTGTCCTGTGCCCTCCAGATCCCAACTCATGACATTTCTGTCCATTTAGAGATGTCACATTTCAGGCTGACTTTTGTGCAGTTAGATGTAAGCATTTTACCTGTCAACTTGTGCCAGGTCCTGAGGCCCCAGACCACACATTTCAACCTAATGGCTCAGCACCACGCATGCATTTATTTCCTGACTATACAGTAGCCGTAACCAGGGCATGAAAACTTGTTAAAAGGCTAGGGCCCTATTCATGAGACGCCTCACGGTGCCTTTTACTCTTAAAAAAGGAGGTTGACTTTCCCTCTACCCTAGTTATAGAAAATGTTGCACACAGAAGAAAAAGGGTGGAAAATCTCAAGCACTTGGCAAACAGGCAAACAAATTTGATCATCTCCTTTCCTCCTTCCCTTCGTGAAATACAGTATTTATATTTTCCAGCCTCAGAAAAGATAGCAGAACATGATCTTTCACAAGAGAATTATAGACCTGCTTATTATAAAACAGATGTGCTCCCATGGCAAAGTGCCTTCTCCCTCCACCCCCAGCTCCCTGTCACTGTAGCTTACTTTTGCCTTCGCTGTAATTAATGTATCTGTGATTCCAACTGTCAGCGAGGCCATTCCCAGCACACTGCATTTGGAGACCCGAAGTGCAGGGCGTCTCCTCCCCTTCTGACATGTTTGCTCTACATACAGAATTTCCTGTCCCAACTCACAGCACCAAGGGTCAGACCTGCTGAGAGTCAAGGGTGAAATTCTGGATCCCTGTTCAAAACACCTTTGTTTTCACCAGTGCTCATTCAGAGGGCCCTGCTAAATATGAGCAGTCCCTGTGAACACATAAGGAGAACTTTCCACCCACATCGTTTTCTGCTTATTTTCAAAAGGGAAAAAAAAATAGATGTGCTATCACCATCAGCTACCCAGAACTGGAACCGTCTCCCGGCTGCTTCTGTTTCTTCTCCTTTTTGTACAGCCCTGACAGCCTGGCTAGTACCAGCCACAGGCCTATGACATTCTCATTCTCTGCCACCACCACCAAAATCTGATAGGACAGAGCGGAGCCAGCTTCGGAGTTGGGTCTGCCATGAAAATTCAAAATTGCTATTTTCAGCCCAGAAAGCCTTAGAGCACATGAACGCCCTTACTGTTTTCAACCCTAGCAAATTACTTGGTGCACTGTTAGGTAATTGTTGCGCTGCTTAGAAACTGTCGAAACAAAAGCAAATCTGTGGATTACCACCTCTTTAAGACCACGCTAATACCTGCTTTTCCTCGTGTTCCGTTTTTCATCTCATATTAAATATCTTGCACATAAAGCATATGAGAAAATGGCCAATTAATCTCCTAGAGCTGGCAGCTGACTCCGGGGAGCCACTTTTCACTGAAAGGCCCAGTCCCTGGTGTATCACTTGAGGAAATCCCTCCTAAAAGTGCCAGAATCTCGTGTGTGAGATCGTCCAACCCTGGTGAAATGTTGGCATCTAACCCCGCAGTAAAGAAGCCAGTTCCTAAAATAGACCTCATTTTGCACCACTGCAGGAAGGCCACAAACTACTTAACAGGCAGTCAACTGGAATGGGAGTAGTGTTCCTTCCAGGGCCCTTCTCCCAAGCTGAAAGCTTCTTTATACAAAAACCATGTAAACTCTCGTCGTCCCCCTTTGCTTCACTGCCTTTCCGGGGACTGTGTTCTAGTCATTTTCATGTCTGTAGTGCTAAAGGGTCATCTGGCTAGGAGCTTTAACGTTGCATTAGCTGAGAGGGTAATCACTTTCTGATCCTTCCAGACTAGGCCTCCACCAAGAAGGGAACACACCTAGTGCTGGGGATCTGTGGTTTCCAACACGGTGATATCCTTCGGTCTCCTAAAATGGGACTGTGCCATGACTTCCTTCCGGCTGCAGCGAAAACCGAAGTGTTTCTATCACTCTAGGTGCCGAATGCAGCCTTTGCGAAGCTAGACTGAGCCCTTTGATGGAGTCTGGCCTCTGTTTTTTCTCTGCATGACGTGTGCAAACGCTGCTCATTGACACCAGATAGTTTCCTTCTGTGCCTCCTCAGAGAGGCTCGGCTCCCAAACCTGGGGGGTTGTTCTCTACCCATTGGCCAGAAAAGGCCATCTGTAAATTAACATATCAGGGTGGGACTAGCGTGATGCCCCATACACTGACCACTCCCGGCAGAGGGGCATTCTCGGGGAAGCAGCCACGCGTGCTCTCCTCATTTAGGGTAAAGCCAGTGCTGTTGCTCGCGCGCTTGTGCGCAATTACCCGTCTCCGCTGGTCTGCCACACTTTCTTGGAATAACTAGATTATGAACTAAATCCTCCCCTCCTGATTCTGGTACTGCCTGGCTTCAACACAAAAGTTTTTGTATTCTTTTTACTTCTTATGGTAAATGGAGATGTGTGCAATTTTTGCCCATTTTATTTCTTGAGTTTTCTGCCCTACTTCTTTTCCTACTCTGAAATAATGTGAAAATATAGAGAATTTGGGGCAAGACTGACAGATGCAAACACCTCCTCCTTGGCATGAACGGTACCGTCCGTTTTCCTTTCCTTGGTACTTGTTGGTAACGGGCACCTTGGACCGCTGTCCTGCCCCTGAGTCTGGTAGAACTGACTGCTTGAGGTTGAGTCCAGTGATGGGTGAATGAGCTCCGCTCGGTTAATCCAAACAAATGTTGATTCCTATCATGTGGGACAGTGTTTCAACAGTTAAGCCTCAGCACCCCGCAGCCTCCTTATTGGTGCACAATTCCAGCTTCGTTGGGTTCCAAAATATCTGACTCAAGGGTTTTTCTTTAGTCTGTTTTAGTGGCTGCATGGCTGAGGTAAAATCCAAGTCATTGTTAAACTCTGGGTTAAAGACAAAAGTATGGCGTACCCTCCTGAGCATGCTTGTAGCTGTCAGAGGTTTTATTTAAAATGGGCTCCAAATGATGGCATTATGTGGCACGTTCCTCATAAAGTGGCCTCTGATGTGATGGACGGTATTGTTAAACTCGAATGAGACAACGCTGCTTTGTTTTGGTTCCTCCCTGTGGGAAGAGAAGCCACTGGCTGCTCATCTTGGTAGAAAGCTTTCAAGTGAAGGCAGTTGTTGCCCAGTATAGAAGATTCAGGCACCTACAGCAACCCTTAGCACGGGGAGGATTTCCTCTTCCTGGCCACGAAGCTGCAAACCAGCCTCTCTCCCCTTCCCTGGATCCTCCCTGCCCTCGTTCTGAGCTCCAGCCCAGACCGAGGCCTCCTGGCTAATAACAGATAGTGGACACCCAGGGCCTGTGGCTCCTTCTCCATGCCGGCCTTCCGATTTGTTGTTTTCCCCGTAGGAGTGCCTTATAGTACCATCTAGTGCTTCTAGTCTAGTCTGTCCACCCCCACTGGAAGCCTATAGGAGCCTTCAACTAAGTATGGATCCTTTGCTTCTTCCCTGCTGGCT